ATGTAAGAGGGCAATATATTCTTAACGCTAACACACACACCCACACCACACCCACACTCTCACACATACCCACACCCCACCCACACCCACACCCATACCCTCAAGATGGAGATCATACCATTAGACTACAGCGGGATGCTATTTCTTTATTTACTTCTCAATATGTGAGCAATTGACAAGTTTGAGACTGACTTCGCTAAGAAATGCATTATGAAACGAACAATTCGTTGAGGAATACTTATTTCCAGAAACTATGAAAAAATTCATCATTATTATGAGTTCGATCAAAATTTCTATTCTTTGTCACTCTTTCTTTTATTTGCATCCATTGTAGTATTCTTCAGATAACGACACAGTTGCAAATCAGTTATCACACTCACATGAAAACGATAAAAAATATCGATCATTTTGTATGCGAACGATTGTTGTCGAAACAAAATATTGTGTTATCCAAATTCTAATGAATATTTAGAGAGAAATAGTGATTTATAGTACTACAATTGTCTCGATTCTTCAGTGACACTTCATATATGGCATTAGAGTTGTTAATATTTACTCAATCATAAGTAATTTCTTTTTCTCTATAACAATAACAACAGCTATAATCATATTGTTCTCGTGAACTACGGAGATAAACAATCGATTAATATAAAATTTATGGATAAATATTGTACTGTCAATATATTCGTGTATAAAATGCATTCTTTAGTAAATAATCCAGTCTTATTCAAATTTTGATAGGCTATTTTTCTTCGATAAAATATTAGAAGAAAGAAAAGACGTACTACCCACTTAGTTTTTCTAATATAATCATGGGGATACTATTTTTTATTTCCATCATTGTTCTATTCAAATGCAATTCTCTTTTTCTGAAACAACGTAGTTTATATTATTATGATTATAATAGAGTCTGCATGATTTTATAAGCGCCCTACTTCTTGTTTTGTGTACATAAAATATCAAAGTAATATACAATAAATAAAAGAAAAATAAGGCAAACATTTACTCGAGGAATTATTTTTCATTAAGGAAAAAAGTACATTAGAATGTGTTGCTATGATAAATCAATATTTAACTAACTTGGAATGGTAAAAATACTGTTTGTTTTAATTTGTCTAATAAATAGAATGGTAATACTGCTATATAAATATGAATCTCAAATATGGGTGTGGATGTCTCTTCCTTTAGTCAAATATTTTTTCCTTGTTGCTATTGTACTCGGTTTGTGTATGTATACTAGTCACGACCACAGCTATTATTTCCAGACACTTGACAAACAATCTATAGTACTATTTTTATGTAGTGATTAAATATTAAACGAGAGAGTTGGAGAAAATGAAAGAAAAGAGAAACAGTAATGTTAATAACTAAAATACTTTTAACAAAAAAGTTTAAAATATCAAGTCATAAAAGATGTTTTGGATATTTTTTGTTTTACTAGTAGTTTCTACTGGTGATTGTATTCTTATCGGTAAAATAGATAATAATATATTGATCGGCAACACATCTAAATCATTATGGAATATAACGCAAAGCCAATGTATATGTGAAATGATGAATTCAAACGGAACAATATCGACATTAAATTACTTCTCAATAAATCAAACTTGTCAATTATTTTATGCAAATTGTACTTCGATCTTCATTGAATTTAATCTCAATTCTTCTTTGATATTTATAAATCAATCAGCAATATTCATAGCACAGAGTAAATATATTATATAAATACTGCAAAAATATCATAGCTTTGCCATGATTGAATGACATATATTTTCGGTACAGATTGTATTAAAAGAAATATTACTTAGTTTCGCTATTCAACGAGCTAAACATATCTGGCAAAATGTAGTAAGATTTATTTTTTCTGGTAAAAGTCCCACCTTTTGTTTTAGTTTAGCAAGTTAGACGTTAGAGAAGAATGTTAATATCTTGAGGGTGTGGGTGTAGGCGTGGGTATGACTTCTCTTAATTCATACCCTCCCTTCCACAGATAGCCATACCCACTCTTAATAATGTCACCGAAGCTTTGTAATAAATTTAGAAACTTTTGACCCCTTACAGCCGAGAGTTGCCAAAGGGCAACATTTTCCTTTTTTTTATTTTATATACCAACAAAATTCTGTTATTATTGATAACTCGTACTAATTATAAAACAAGAAATTTTTTAGAATTATAAGTTAACGTATTCAATTTCCAAAAATCATCGGGAAACGATACGTTTTGATAATGCTGACGTTCCATATTAATTAGTATGTACTAGGCTATTTTCCAAAAGTCATACGTATTCATATTGAATGAGAAGTGGGCAATTTATGTGATATGTACCTTTAATTATCGTACTATAAGAATGGTATTCGATAGTAGTTTGAAAGAGTTATCGGTACAACATTATCTCAATGTTGCCGTTTGGCAACATCCGGTCGAAAAAAGTTAAATAAAAATAAAAGATCTCAAGAAAAGAATCAATATGCAGATCTTATATAACTCAATTTGTGTGATTCGAAAAGTTTCTTTTTTTAGTGAACTCATAAGAAATGTAAATTGAATTGTCAAAATTATTATCAGAGAAATACACTTAAAGTAAATATCATAGAATTACGATTATAATGGAAATCATTTAAACATTTCCTATTTTATTATAAACAACTCATATTTAACGTTGATACATTTTTACAGTAAAGGAAACAAATTTTTATTCAATCGTTTAGTCTCACTCTAAAATCATTTTTTCAATATAGAATCGACTACGACTTCAACATCAACAACAACAACTATTACTACAACAAGTTAGTAATATGCTAGATAATTTGATGGTGTGGGTGTGAGTATAGAATAGTTAGTGTATCCACACCTACACCACACCCTCACTATGTTCGCAAACGCTAACTTGTGTAAACTGCACAGCCTGAGAGTTGAAATATTTGTGGAAGTGTGTGTGTGTGTGCGTCTCACTCTACCGACATTCACACCCACACCCTCAAGATGGTGATTCACTGTTTGATCTGTGGTAAAGAGATTTTAGTTTCAGTCATTAACTGATGGCTGGCTGTAACTAGTTGATTACTAATGTTCATATAAAAAAAGAAGAAGAGCGATGACTGTTTGAAATAACCTGTGATAGAAAAAAGATTGAAATCTGAGATTTTTACTATATAATCCGGTATATCATGTGTCTGGGAAACGCTGATGAAAAAAATAAGAAACCTATTTCCATAGAAATCCTAAATACAGCTAAATCACGAATGAAATAATAAATTACCAGAGATATGCCCTTTGCTATACCATATGTATTAAGACGTTCTTGTGAGTAAAATACTCTTCCATTATTGATTGCTCTTTTTTCTTCTCTGTACATAAACCCCCCTCCATAATAAAAGACTCGTGGGTCTTCTATTATGTTTCGCACATCGCGCTCTTTTTATGGAAAGTTCCACCTATCCCTATAGGGCGTTTTTCCGATTTTTGCTCCAGAGAGGTCTACTATTATGGGGGGGACGTCTCATAATACGGCAGGGTCTTTTATTATGGAGGGGGTTTACATAAAATGTTATGAAAAATTCGCATCATAGAGGAGCAATATGTCCGCATCGAAGCGTTTTTCGTAACGCGAATAAACTTTTTTACTATAAACGGTTAACTCATAGGTATTTTTACAGTATCTAAATCAGTTAATTCTGACTGATTCCTCTTAATTTTTTCATTTCAGCTGAATTTGAATTCTTCTAGATTAGTGCAGATAAGGACAAGTGTTATCGAATAATTTATCTGACTTTGATTTCTAAGACCTAGTTGTTTCGCCTTTGAGCTAGTGACAGATAGTTCTATTTCAATCAAAACTCCTGAATGACAGTATTATTTCTCTTTGTTCACACCTTTGTGAATAGTACATTTCAGATTTACGACCAATCATGATTGGTTTTTAGCATTATTGTCCTTAAATTATTTATATATTAATGCTTTTCTTACATTTTAGCCCGTTTATGCAGTAATCTTACTATTTGTTGTTCTGGTTTTAATACTCCTTGTGTTCCTTGTACTGATACTAATAATAATTATGGTCTTGTTTACTGCTATAATGATCTTAATAATTATGGTAATCTTTATGGTCTTCTTAGTGATTGTGTTTCTGATTATAATAGTAGTGATAATGGTGTTAGTCGTTCTTATGGTTATTATCATTGTATTGATGGTACTTATTCTTCTGGTTCTGGCACTCTTCCTTCTGGTTAAGAGAGAGAATAGGTCGGTTTGGATTGTCGTGTACCAACAGCAACAATTATACCCAAAATCAATCAAAAACATTTATATAATAACTTTGCGCGAAAATGAACTTTATTCGCGATTCAAATTTTTTTAAAATAATTTGCATGTGAGCAAATTATTTTTTCTGTTGTTCTTTTTTTAGTTAACATTCATTCGATTGTATTTTTTCATTTTATTCTATATTTATTCTAATTAGAAACTAAAATAAAAACTTAAATTCATAAGTTAATACATAATCGAATTAATTGCATAAGATGAACATAAGATTAATCAAAAATGATAATCAAATAAGATATTAAGAATAATCTGTGATGTTTCGACAGTGAAAATTGTCGTTATCGAACGTTTTACAGAGTTTGTTATTAATTTTTAGGGTGTTGGGTGTGAGTATGGGTATGATTAGAGAGAAACGACGCACACGCACCCACACCCATTAGGGCATGATCAAAGCACGTTCCTTATGTCGATTATCTGATCATTGTGATTCATTGATATATATGTGCCCTACGTGTATGTACAATGATCTTGTGCAATAAGTTTATTTATTGAAACCATATTGATGGCCAACTGATATAATATTTATGTTCACTTTCTTCCAGCATTTCCTTATGAGCATTGACATGTTTGCCAGCCTAGACCGTCGGATTGAACCTTTTTTTTATAACCACATTGTTTGCATCGACTGTTACAGGTAGTTCCATAATCGAACTCAAGACAAGTTTTCAACGTGTAACAACAACTTCTTGCAGCATGGACTTCTACTATTTATCAAAAATATGACAATGAACATTTACGTCTTTTTATAAAACACCTTTTCTTTGTGATTGATGCTAAGATGAGAGCAACGTTGAGTAAAACATAGATTACTGTTTGACATGCTATAATATTTATTGAATATTAGTAATAATTTAACCTAAATCATGCATATTTTCTCTTTCCTATATTGTATTTCGAGTAAATCAAAATTGATTACATATTATTCTTGAAATGCCATTTTTACCAGAAAACATAGTACATATTGACGCTTTTACCATCAACAATACAGGTATCGTTCTGGAGTGTCTTGTGAGATAAATTGTTCTGTTAATGATCTCTAACTACGACACTATATCAAGTCTAAGAACAATATGAATCGTTGAGAACTTCGAGCGACGAGAATCATTGTATATGAAAAGAATAAAGAAGTAATGCTCAAATAATAAGAATAAGCATCTGTAGCTCAATGGTAGAGTACTCGATTTCCACTTGAGCGATTTGGGTTCGATCCCCAGCAAATGCATTTACTTTTTATGACGACATTCGAAGATTGCATCTATGAATGATGCAATGCTTTAGTCATTTCATGATAACTTTCATACATTGAAAATATGATGCAATATACAACTGAAGAACAGAATAATGTTGTAATAATGCGATGAGAAGCAACGTATTTGATATGAGGGTGTACGAGTGTGGGTCAGGGTGGATGTGGGTGAGGTTCATAGAACCAAATAATATGCATATCCACACCCACACCCTCAAGCTAAGGGGTGATCAGTTTGTGAAGATGTCCAGACAAATCAGATTATCTTGAGAATACACGCACGAAATACATTCTACAGATACACCCACAGCCACTCGCACTCACACCAATCCACACCACACCACACCCTTCTTCTTTTCTTAATTCTTCACAGAAAGAACAAGCAAAGAGTGCATGTATGCTTCGAACGAAAGAAAAAAATGCAATTAGAACTTAATTCAAAAATCAATAAACGATTACAATTCAATTCAAAAATAAATAAACAATTTCGAAAAAGTAAAATTTCAATGAGCAAATCTCCAAACGAAATAAGCAATTGCTCATTTGCCTCTCCCCTCGCTGCGTCACTGATAGTGAGGAGTTTATTCGTCTTCATCGGATAAAGTTTCTTCAAAGACAGACGAAAATGTAGGTGGCTTGGTCTTGTTACGATGTTCATTACATTCGTTAACTGCAAAAAGTGAAAGAATGAGGAATAGATCATTGCACAATTGATGAAGGTGTTCAGTCATTCTTTCTCCACTCGAGTAAGCTGCCCAAGTTGCGAAAACTGGAGCAAGTGCTACACCAATAACTATACCGGCAATAGATACGATACGTAATCCGACTGTACCAGCTGGAATGGCAAATCGTAAGATATCATCCACTGACGTGCCGATTGCAGTTAAAACAGTAACCATCTTTGTTCCATTGCGAGTCAATCGGTCATTCTTCTTTACAGTTGAACTTTTCCTTGCATTCTGGTACGGTGATGATGCTCGGTTATATGTGTTTCTAACTTCCGGTCTATCAGATTCTAAGTATTCGAAATAGCCAGATTCCAAAGTATTCTTCGGTAATGTTACGTTTTTCGTCGCGAGGTATTCTTCTAAAGAATCTTTCGTGCCACGAAATATGTTCTTTATTGCGGATCTATCGTGCACGCCAAAAGCTTGACGGATTTCTTCGCGTCCGAAGAAATTCGGTAGTTCATCAAGAAAAGGAATAAGACTAGCGCCAGCAGCAAACCATTTCCATCGTGTTTTTGAGACCACGTAACCACGACGAAAGCAGGTATTGATAACAGCTTTTGAAGTGAGAATGGCAAGTTGACATATTCGGGTCGTTCGAATGTCCGTGATAGCCAAATCGGTCAACTTGGCTTTCAATTTACCTAAATCGAATTGAGCCCAAGATGCATCTTTTGAGTTGTTATTGCATCTAACTGCCGTGAGATAGATTTCCTCTCTTAGACGCTCATCATTGAATGTAACCTTAGATAGACTTCTCGTTTGCTCCAAAGCTTTTTTTACATCGTAATCTGCAGCAATCTCCTTCGTGTAATCTGTTGCTGTTTCGTCCTTGAAAATATCATTAAACAACACATCGGCCTTACTTCTAACTAAGAGACATTCTCGTTGTAGTTTTGTTTTAATATATTCTTGACAATCACGGTTGTGTTTGCTAAACAGTCCAGCGAAAACAATTATGTACACATCACAATCTGCTCGAGTTATTAATTCCAGATAGTTTCCTGCAGATAAAGATTCGTCAGAGTCGATAGCTCCTTCCATATCAACGAAAGTAAATGGAATAGATCTTCCAGTTCGAGGATGTTGATAGGGAAGTGTGTCGAATTGTAAATAACCGAATGTACTTCGTGCAGTATCAATCATGGTCGAGTATTGCCGGGCATTGGCTAGTTCGATTGCTAACGCACTTTTTCCTACAGATCCATGACCAATCAAACCAACTTTGTACGGAATAGAGTAAGTCAACTTTTGATCTTTGAACAATTCGGTCAGATCGAGTTCTACAGCTTGAAAGAGTTCGATCACTTTGGGTTTGAACTGATCATCTGCACCATGATCATCTTGCCATGTTTTCATCAACTGCTCAGTTGTCGGAAAAGTAGCCTTGATTTCCAGTTTTTCTATTCGTGCACACAGTTTCTCCATCAATTGAATATATGTGAAGCAAGGAATGTCTTGAGCGTCAATGTATTGTGCAAAATTATCACGATCATTTTCTTGAAGTTTTCCATCGCGTAACAGATTAATATATTTATCAATACATTGTTCGATAGCTCGTAGATTTCCACGTAAACAATTGAGGTCACTATTGACATCGGATATAGTTACTAACCTTCTCTCGGCTTTATGAATATATTTATCAAAAGACACGTTTCGTTCTGGCTTATTCTGCAATAAGGATCGGATTGTTTCAAGACATGATGATAGACAATGTCGTCGAAAAGCAAGATCTTCAAGAATCTGGTCGATCGCATGGATATTTTCTGCTTCTGATAGCATCTCCAAACGATTCATATCATACTTTTGTTTGAGATGCTCTTGAAGGGATTCAGATATATCTACTGTGATGTCGGAATCATTCATCTCGATTTTTTCGATGACATGAATTAATATATAACATATGCGATGAAAGTCACGCATACCTTTTTTGTATTTACCTAGACAGCTTGTCACATCAACACCACGATATTTCATTTCTTCATGTTTATCCTTCATTTGAACGACAAGTTCTTTCAGATCAGCACATAGTTTAGCCACCTGATTAATGAGCGATTCGTCAAATAGATCAAGAGAAGTCATTCCTAATCTCGTTCGGAAAGTATCAAGTTGAGATTCCAGATGAACCAATCGAAATTCCATGTTTTTGATGAGAGGTCGACATGAGATAGTTTGTTTGTTGTTTTGCAGGTCAAATAAACTACGAACCCCATACGTTTCGCACATATTCTTCCAGACGACATGCTTCTGAATTAGATCGGCTGATCTCAGATTAACATTTTTCCTGCATGTAGCACATGCAAATATACGTTCTGCAGTTGCTCCAACAATACCCTGTACACAACCGCTGCAATACTGTTCCCCACAATGTTTTGTAGGACATTCGAATAAAAGTTGATTTTCCAGAATGCCAAAAGGATTGTCACACAAGGCACATGCAGGATGGCTCTACAATGCAAATAAAATATTTTAGATGAATAGACCAATAAAAGTATGGTACATACATATCGGATATATAAACTTTCTGACTTCTGTTTCTTAGGTAAAGCAGGAACAGAAGTTAAGAGCACTTCG